GATCTCGATCAAAATCTTAATGATCTCCACAACCCTATACTGAAAATTATTTTGTGTCGAATACCTTGTTAAACAGAAAATATTCCTGTTAGGTAAAGCATGAAATTAAGTTCTGATAATTTAAATATTGCTTAAATGTGGTATTTACGTGATTAATGAAAATATTCATTACTTGCAATCAAAGCTCAACAATGTCCCCTTTTTGTTCTACTACTCATCAATATACATTCTTTGTGATTGATGAAAACTAATTATACTTTATGAATTCGCTGTCGTGAATAAATATATGCTATGAATTAGGTAAAATGTTGTCAATAATAACAGATATTTAAAGAAATTTTATCTTGTTATGTATGCTAGTCTTACAATTTTGAGAGCTCAACGCAAAGGAGATTCTTAAAAGTGGTATGTATAACATGTAAGCCGCCAGTATGTTTCAGATTCCCTTCTGATAAATCAATGAATCTCCGAACAACTCTTTTTGCTTCAACTGTCATGTTATTAATTTCAATGAAGAATAAATGTAATTATTTTTATGACTTTCTACGTAATTGTATATCTCTATATTTATAACCTTTGAACGACACCCGAATCACAAAACGCTGCAATCATAATATTATGTCCGTTAAGTATTGCTTAAATTAGAGTTCAGGTATCTATCAAAGAAAAAAATGTTTCTACCTTTTCTGATGAGATTTTTCAGAGGAGAGAAAAACCGCATTTTCATGTTGAAATCAGAAACTTATGTTCTGGAATGCAAACTTGTTTTTTGTATGTTGAACAAACCGGATTTAGACAATTAATCGGAACAAATCAGGTTTCTCTTGATAAATAATACACATGTAATACAAAAAGTTTGTTATGTGTGTATTTTATCGTATATAAAATACCATACCAAGAATCATAAATGTCAGTAAGGATAATTAATTGTAAACGTAAATCTGAGATGAAAGATTAATTATTTTTATATGTAAATGTTCTTAGCAATTATATATGTGATCAAATTGTTCGAAATGTATTGAGCTAATATATCGCACAGTTCTGATAATCTTTGTCTTCATTATGTTATATATGAAACAAGAATCAAGAATAAATTGTAAAATTATTTATCATTTAGTGCTATTATTGACGTTATTACAAATGAAACTAAAAAAATCACATTATCCACAAACTAGTTAGAGTTAGAAATATAAACTAGGTTCTCAGTATTTTCTAAAAGATAGTTTGCTGATCGATAGGATACATCGTTACTTACAAACTATCAATATGGTTTATGTGAAAGGAAATATCATCATAATTCGTGTAAATCTCTTATGCTTAATCAGGCCATATTGTATTTGCTTGTATGATTAGGAAACATTTTTAAAGCACTTTTGTCCCATCTAAATTTTTTTATTCGTCAATAGACAAAAAGTGAAGTAATGACATTGAAACATTTTCATAAAGTGAGTTAAGTAGTGATCAAAACTTTCTATTCCATTGTTGATCATGGTTTTTAGGTTATAGATTGTATCGTATTGATTCGTCTTGATAGAATAAATACATTTCTTAGAAGACATAAAAAGTAATTTAGACTAATTCGCATAAGTTTGACTATCATTTACAAAAATTACTCAGTTGGTCATTGCAACTGTTTGTTAAAATAATGGCTCTTCTTTTATAAAAAAATGATTTTAATTGCCTTTTTAAATTTAATTATGTGATTAATTCTATTTTACATATTAACACAGTTGTTCAAATAAGCTTGGTAAATAAAGTTAACAACCATCCCATTTTATACTTCCGAAACCATATAAAATCTGTAATAAACTAGTCATAAAGAAACCATTATACCTTGTTGTGAATTCTGTCTTGCATTTTATAGCAAGTAAAAATTTATGTACATTACATTGAGTTTGTAGTTTATACAATCTCTTTTTTCTCTATTTATTATTTATTGAAATCATGGGAATATATATTTGCTTATGTTTGTTAGCGCTAATATTGAAAATGAAATCATTCGCTATCTTTTGTTTCACTCTTAACTAAAACTTTGTCAAATAATACGCTTAATTAGGATTAAGTTGACTACGATTAGTATTGTTATCATTTCCCTTGGTGATAATTATATTATTAATTATATGATTTTGTGATTATATCTTATACAATTTAACAGTATGAATGTATATATATATATATATATATATATATATGTGATAGACTAAAAGATTACTTTTCATAAGGTCTAAAACTGGCTACTGTATGAGTCATGAAATTGTTACAGAAAGAAATCGAACCACCTTTATGATTAATCCATTTCAATGTTTTCCCATTTTATTTATTGCTTGTAAATTATCTCACAATTTACTATGAGCTTCAAAAATTGTTTTAAATAAATAACCTTAATGTTTATTTATGCTTCCTTGCCAGTGAAATAATTTTTTTTTAAATAAATAATATTCTTATTTCTTGAATTGTAGTTGACTTAAACGCTTGTTGTTAATTTCATTTCTTGTTAGGTGAAAAACACAGGAAATATCATTCTTTTTTTCAGGAACAGTTTCCTAAATAGAAGGAACAAATTCATTATTGATTAGTAATTTCTTCAGAATGAAAAAAACAACACATTTTATGTGTAATTGTTCCCAAAATAAAACTAATCATCTTTAGTAATATAAATATATTTATGTAAATTGTCCCATTATGTAAAATAAAGAACCCTTTTTTTAAAAAAAGAAGGAAAAATCCCATCAATACCGTTTAAAAAGGATTATTCATTAACATTGCTCATTTACATAATGTGGGTATACACTTTGTTAACTATCAGTATCAAACTAAGATATAATTATATTGAATGATCAAAAGTTTGTTATTCACTCAAATGTTATTTCTGTATGTTTAAAAAATGTATTGTCTTTGATGAAATGCCATTGATTAGTTTTTTTTTCAAGAAAAAATAGATACATTGTAACCATATGTCAAAATATTGAGTTTGTACAAATTAATAGTTTACAGTATAGATGAAACTGACATTTAAAAAGAAAATAATTAGAGTTATAATAAGTTTGTAACAATGATTCAACTTGAAAATACCGGTAGTTTGTGTTATCTAGATGATAGAATTCTATAAAAGTATTTCAGGGCAAATGAATATTAACAGATTATTTTATAGAATTTATAATTGTCCAAAACGTATGACTTTATCTATTTACCGGTCAGTAAAATGTAGGTTTTTCTGAGTTGTCCAGTTTTCCTCAAAGATTTTATGTGGATAAGATTTACATCGTTTATAGTGTATGTTTCATTTGTTTACAAACTGTCAGAGTCCAGTTCGAATTGTTTAGGCTCATTTTATTAGTATGTTTATATTTATTCTTTGTACTTTTTGGCCTAATACGTAGTCTCCCTTTTAATCGTCATTTCATGTGTATAACCTTTCAGTTACAGTATATAATGTAAAAATATGGTCCTTATTTTATTAAAATCATTAAAATATGAAGTATACATTTGTTTTTGATGATAAGTTCACTAAAATACAAATTTCAATACACAAAGAATTTTAATGAAAAAGATGTTAACTAAAAAGCATATGTACTTCATGGCTAAAATCTACGATGATCATCATAGATAAGTTAGGCAATAATCACTGTCCAATAGTAAATAATTTACATTTTTCGTGTTATTAAATACATTCAACCGACTGTGAGCCATATGTTACTAATATCTTTAACTTGACATTTCTACCATTGTTTTAGGATTAATCTGATATTGATAAGTTAACCTTAGACCAAATAATAAAATATTTTAAATAATAGGCTTTCTTTTAAGAAAAGGAAGATAAAAGCTTATATCTATCATATTTCTTTTTGTATTCAATTAATATGTTGATGAATAATGTACAACAATGAAAGAGAATCCTTCAATGGTGATTAAGCATTTGAAAAGATAGAAAAAAAATGTAGGAAATAAAAGGGGAATTAAAACTTACTATTAGCTGTCACGTTGAAAACGAAAAGAAGAAATAGATTGTAACTCAGTATTCAATCATTTTAGTTATATTTCACTTTACAAAATATATGACTCATAGTTTGCGTGATATATGCATAAATACTCGCAATCTGTCATTAAGTTAAAATTGAACTAATGATAATGATATCGTTGACTTTATTGAAAGGATTTATATCAGTTTTAAATCTAAACAATCTTTGAAATAACACCAGATAACTGTGAGAAGTAAAATGAATTTTAAAAATCATTATTAATTAAAGTAGGAAATTCCTTAATAGTGTCCAGAAACCGAGTTCATCATAAATCTCAGTCTTATCAATTAGGAATTGTGATAATACTTTACGATAAATTGGGACTGACAACATTTATGTTTCAAATAAATTAAGGAGTTTAGACCATTTATGTACTATTTTTCTGGTTGATAATTGAATTGTGGATCAGATTTTTCTTCTGTCGAAATTGTTTCTATGTACACTAACAAGTGAGAGATATTTTAAAGATTGACTACATTTCCTCAAAAATTAAACATTAGGTAATACACTGCCAATTTACAAGATTTATTCAATTACACTTACTTTTTTCCATTATTTTCTATTTTTGTCAAAGTTATATTTATTATTAAACAGTCTATAAGATGTGTTGTTAAGACTTAAATGAAATGCATTCTATTCTTTTTTTTCTCAACAGCCTCCATCCCCACCAAAAATTAGTTGACATAAACAACTTCATGTTTCATAGTTGACAGACAATCAATATTAAGATCAAAATGATAAAAAAATTACTATAGCAAATAATCTATCTGTCATTGTACTAGAGGTTCATTTAGAAATTTTATTTTTGTTTGAATGAATGTGAAATTTTTTGAAAAAAAATTGTACAATTTGTTTTCCTTTTAATTTGATTGATAATTTTTAAAAATTAACTAATCAAAATGTTCTTTTTTTTCTTTTTTCCCTTTTTATTCTTATGAAATGGAAAAAAATAATTCAATGTTTCATATTTAATAATGAAAGAATTCAATTTGGTTCAACGATACGTTTTGTTCGACCAAAACCATCAAAATTCTGGGGTATCAAAGTAATACCTAGTCAATATGGTGTCAATTTTAGATTTCGTAATAAAAAGCCAGATATAGCGCAAAAACTGGGCGCACAAATAAATGATAAAAGGTAATTAATTTTTCAGTATATATATATATATATATATATATATATATATATATATATATATATATATATATATATATATATATATATATATATATATAAGATTAAACGGGAAATAATCGCCAAACTTAGATTATTACGTTTATTTTAGTTTGAATTCCTATTTTACTGAAGTTTGTTCAGAATAAATGCAAATTTGTGCTTCATTCAGTATTGTATTGTTATATGACTTGGTTATTAGAAACCGCGAATCGGACGTTGGTGGATGACAATTTATTTGATACCCAAAATAAATTAAAATCAACGTCTAATTTCACTAAATTTCATACGGTTTGAACTGATCAATGGACACATTTACACACATTGAACTGAGTAGTATCTAGCATTAGTTAATATGTAATATACTGAACAAACATAGATATGTAATACCATGAAATAAACCGACTATGATCAGCTGATATGATTTATTAGACGACTGGATAAAAAATAATCATAGGTCACTGACACAGTTAACTCTTTGGTCACCATTTCAGTTTTGAACTTAATCATATATATATATATATTCGAAAGTGGTAAGAATAACTGCATGATCTCCGTTATTCTATCAAGAAAACAGTCTAGTGATAACTGGTAAGATTGTATATACATTTTCTCCAATGTTGAATATTCGATTCAGTTTGTTCTTTTTATTGTTGATTCCAAACTAGTTTGGTGATTTCTGAATCGATGTGATCGCTTTGATTTTAAGCCGTTTCTACGATTAAACTTTGCCTTGGTTTCCTAACTGGATATTTAAGAACTAATCTATCAAGATATTAAATCTTCGAAACCATTCACTTTATTCACAATAATTAATGGTTGAAGTGTTTTTTATAAACAACTATGAATAATGTATGAGTATCAATTCACTAAGCTTGATAGTTTATATTAAAACATTATCTCTGAAACTGGATAGTTTAATAATCTAAGCTAATTAAAATGACTGAACTCAAATTTTATCAGCAAACTTTGAATTACGATTCCTATTGTAACAAAAAGATGAGTTTTCACTATTTTTTAGTATTTTGGTAAAATAATGATTCTACTCACTCATATATTCTTTTATTCCTTCTTTTGAATGTTTCCTCTTTCACTGTTACCATTTCTTACCTAGGTAATTTTAACTGCATATCTTTCAATTTCTTTTTTCGATGAGATGTAATATTTGTGTTTTCAAGCTTTTTTTTAGCCAAATTTATTCTGCATGATTATAATTTTATGCTTTTCGAGTAACATAGTTAAATCTTTGGTTTAGTCCCAAATCTCGGTATTAATAGCTTACGCTTCCCTTATATTGAAATAAAAGAAATTATTTGTCAGGAAATACTATCGTCGTTCAATATGATTGGAAATATCTGTGATGTCGGAATGTAAAACGTCATTAGCTTTCAGCTCAGTAGCTTAATAGTCGTGTCCTCATCGGAATACTTTGGGATATCCTATTTCACTTTTGTGTAGTTGTATGTGCCTCTAAGTTAGATAAACAGTTTCACAATGCTATTCGGGTTACTTTTCTAATGGGTTCCAGTAAGCGGTAAAACTATCGTCAAATTCGCATTAACCATTTTTTGTGAAAATCTATTTATGACGTAATCAGTCGTGGAAAATAATAATAATACGCCTTTATTTTTGTTCATTATGTAGTTTCGCCCAATGTAATAGAATAAACAACAGATATACTAAGAACTTTAACGAACTAATCATACACCTTAATATTTGCTTAAGTGAAAAGTAGGGCAGAGTAGATTTTATTTATTTATTTTTATTTTTAATTCTTGAACAACAGACAATGTATTAGTTTTAACTAATAAATTTTAAACTAAATTCGTGGTATTCAAAATAGAAATTTAATTATTTACAGTGATATATAACTTATGCATTAATAATTTGGTGACGAGTCAGTCATTATTACTATAATTATTCGGTGTTTTTTCCAAATGACTAGAAGTTAATTTATTTCCGAACATTTTCTTTTGTTTAGTGGTTTAATGATTTATCTGTGACTATTTCTTATTTTTATTTATTACATCAGTTAATTATGTAGTTGGGTGTTTGTCATTTCATTATAAATAATCCATTAGAATTTAGTGAATACACCTTTTCTTAATGCTTGTCTCTATCATATCTAAATTTTCACAAGAGTGAATTATAAATTATCACTTAAATTACTGAAAAATCAAACGAGTAGTTGTTATTCATTCTACCAATCAGCAGCTCACGTCCTTTGCATTTCAAGGGGCAACTAACTAATTTGGACGTCCCACTTTCGTGGGATATGTTATCAATAACGGTTAATGGGACAGTGTTCTTAATGTACAGAGTTGCTCCTCCTCCCTGACGCTTCTGAACTCTGTTGGCTCTTACAAATGTGCAACTTCCAAAATCAAGTTTAGTACCGTCTATAAACTACGTCAACCAAGTGGCTGTGACTGCGATTACATCCGTCTTAATAGAGTCTATCTGTACATCTAGCTCCGATCGCTTATTGGACGAGCTCCAGGTATTTGTGTGACAGATCCGAAGCTCATTTAAATGGCTTCATGCTGCACCCAGAGTTACTTTGGCATCATTCTCTTTCGAAGCCTCATCACCCGAAAATTTACAATTTTTAGGGTCTCACCAGCATCTAACCTCAGTTTTAGTTCATTTTCAGATTCTTGCCATTTTATGCGATCCGAGAGCAGCAAGTCTTTACGGACAAAAACTTCTGAACTATTTGGTTTATGTCTATTCTGTAGTATTGAGTCCCTTATGTTAGGACACTTGCATACTACTTTTAGCATCCTGGTCTGATTCTGTTTCAAGTCTTTTTGGCTACCTCGTCTATAAACATTTAGCAGGTTGACTCAGGAGATATCCTGAAGCATTAGCTGGTTTGTTAGCTTCTTTATAAACTCAATGTCATGCTGATTTCTAGGTTCTGAGCTTTTGCTCTCCTTGACTCTATGAAAGACAATTGTTCTGTCACTGCGATCAGTCTTCAAAATCTCAGTTACTTTTTGGGGGACTGGCTTATCTCACAACATTGGGTCGCTTCTTATTTTGTTTTGTACACATTGATCAATTTTCATTGGAGTAACAATCACAGTCGCGCCACACACACTGTGAGATTCTGGACGATTGTCGATAACTTGTGTTGTCAGGTTGTTGTATTTTCTGCTAGAAACAGACCTTACCTTGAGACTGGGTTTTTTAGACGCTTCCTGCTCGCTGTCGTTTAGAAAGCCGCTGGCAGAAAAAAGTTCCTTATGTGAGCCATCTTTCTTACTTTGGCCCATGTAAGTCAGTCGAATCAGTGCTTATTTGAGGCAACTTTACATCAATTTGTGTATCGACCGAAAGAGTATTGGTGTGTCTCGATTATGTTTGTTAATATGCTTTGCAGTAGCATTCACCATTGCGATGGCTTCGGATAACAAGCTATTTGCGTTCAGGCAGCAGTTCTGAGACAACCACACACAACTATTTTTGCTAAACCGTTTGAAAGTTGCAGATGTTAGATTTGTGCAAACTTCGTGATACCATCATTTTCAGACATTGCATACTTGCCACTTCCCACAACGTGTCGAGAGCCTGAGCGTTGACAATTTCTTGTTTTGTACTGTTCAGTCATTATTCAGAGGTTTTCAAAAGGAACTGGACACAAACAATACACAGAGATATAAGAAACTAATGACCAGAGAAAGTGAAAAACTGTAAATTGTTAGAACCAAAAGTGCAAACCAATACAACCAATGTACTCAAAAGTACCGACAAAAAATTACTTTGGAAAAAAACGATATTCTTGATGAATACTTCAAATGTAATAAATTCAATAAAAGTGAAAACAGCAGTTTTGATGCGTAGTTTACGATCAAAACAAAATTAACTCAACGATGAAAAATACCACTGTCCTTTTTAAATAGCGCGCGAGAGAAACATTTAAGCTATTATTTTATCCAGTTAACTAGCTGATAAATGATAAAAAGTTTTAACTCTTAATTGAATATTAACAAATTATCTTTGAACTTATTATCTGATAAGGTAAAGTGATGGTAATAATCAAGTACCTTTTAGCCGCCGTTTGTCATATGCTTTAAGATATTTGGATACCATTATTACACACTTGCCTTTCCGGAGATAAGTTATTTGATTTGTGAACTACGCTTTGCGTTGCAACGCTACATGACATAATACACTCGTCAATTCATCGTGTCATGTGTAAATATGGGATGCATTAATATTTATTTCTTGTCAGTTTACAATTCACTTATAATTTTCACCCTGTCTGAAATACTGATAATACATACTCTTGTAGACTTTTTATTTATAATAACTCAATCATAAAAATTGACATCTGATTTGTATTGTATACTCCTATGTTAACTTTCGCATTATTCTTTTTTTACACCAGAATCCGGGTGCTAGTTTCAGGAGTCTTATGAAAAACTGTTTATTAGTTAAAGCCAATCAATATTTCTTGAAAGTCATAATGACAGTGACATGCAAAAAATAACACTTTGCACTCATTTCCTTTCAAACTTAAATGTCACCAAACCAGTGTCACTAAAAAAAATTCTAAATTCTTTCAATCGTCTGGAAGACTTGTTGTAGTTATCTGTATATAAACTAATACTATGAGTAAGCATATGTCTAATTTAATAAACAGTTCTAGCTAAACTGTCAAGCTAATATTGAGAACGTTGTGCATTATACTCGTTTTCACTCATAGTCACAATTCTGTCCATCGATGAGAAAATGTAAATGAATCATTTTTTTTACTAAAATATATTATTTTCTCTCAGCAACAAATAGTTGTTATGATTAAAAGCGAGAAAACTAAGTATATATTAACACCATTGGAACTGTTAAAAATTTTGTTCTAATTTTAAAATCAAATATCATTTGACTAAACATAGCCAGCTTATATTTCATTTCTGTTATAGTGATTTGTTTTCTTAGTGGGTTCAGCTTTTATACTTTAA